CTCATCTCCTTCCCAAATTTCCTGTTCTGAGCCACCTCAAACTAGTCTCTTTTAAATGCGTCTAAGTCATCACGCCATCGCTTCCTGGGTCGGATTTTTCAATGTTTGCCCAAATATCGGAACCCATACGGCTAATGTGATCCAATCTCACTTAAGTTTCACTGATTTCTGACCTACGATTTTAATGCCAATTTGTTAGCGAAATATGATGTTCTATACACGATAATTCTTCGATTGATAATTAAATTGCTATTTTTTTTTTTTGGTAGAGCAATACCATATATCTATTGTTTGATATATTTGTCGTAATAATAAATTATTATTGATAAGAATATGTGAGATCAGATTAAGGTAAAGAGCTATATATACCTCATTTCGTTATAAGATTTCGATACCTATTCGATATTATTCTTTATTATCTAACCACTGATTCTTAGTGTTTTGTTTTTATATCTAAAGCTGATTATGTCCTATCTTTACATATACATATACAGATATTTCTAGTACAGATTAAAGGACTTAGCTGTTATCAATAGAACGCTATTCATTTTTATAACATTTCAATATTAATTTTATCGCTTCGATAATAACTACATATACTTGTTCAATCTCGCTCCAAATGTACAGAGGGGAATGACGGTGTTAGTTTTTTATATTAGATATAAATAGATAATGGTTTTATGACATATAAACTTTTATTATACCTATCAGAACGCCTCTTTGGTTATCAGTCCAAAGTTACTGTACCAGGTATGTAGAACGAAATTATATTTATTTTATTGTGATCTTAATACAAGCGTATTTACAACCATCATATTATCTTGGGGGAGAGGGGGGTTTGCCAGTAGTTGTCATGCTTGGTAGGCGGGTTGGCAAACGCAGTTAGGCTTTGGAGATGTTTTAAGAGGGATGTTGTTACCCATCCCTCGCCCTTCCCTTATTCGTCTTACGAGGTCCGCGGGAAAGGAAAGGGTGGCCTATTCTATGCCGGGACCACACGGCATGTACGTATTTACAACATATAAAAAGAATTATTTTCGGCGTTGCCGTTTTGTGATATGGACATCTGTTTAGTTATAAATAAATCAAGCACATTTTCTCCTTCGAAAATTAAAAAAACATTGTTGCCATGACATAAACAAAATATTTTCAAAAAGAAATATTACCTTTGTCGTTCGGGATCATGTAAGGTTTAACGATACCCCGCACCTAACAAAACCATGCAAATCTGTTCAGGCTCTAAAGACAAGTGACACCAAATATGTCTATGGAATCCTCATCACTAAGGAAGTCCATGTGATACAATGAGGTAGCAACGTCCGATGTCTCGCTTCGACTCATAGCAGTAACGAATCCATCGATGGATTCGCTTGCCACTTGTTGAGGAGGGCTAGTATCTAGAAAAGATAGTGGAATAAAAAAAAACCATTCAAAAATCCTGGTAACATGAATATTTTTTTTGAGTGGCTGCTTAAAAATTGTAAAAATTATCTATTTTTAACTATTTACTATTTAAGTATCCTAATAGTAAAATTATAATTAAATTATGGTAAAAATGGGCCACCCCCTTCCTTTCCCTTGGGTATTTTAAGAAGCGATTAAGGTATTTTATTAATCGAGTTAATTGTCCAGCAGCGTCACTCTTAAAACGTCACCAAAACAGTAACTGCGGTTGCCAACCCATCTGCCAAGCGTGGCAACTACTATGTTATAATGGTAATGACAAAACAAATTGTTTTAAAATTCTATTTATTTATTTCACTCTCGCACCAAAAACATAAAAATAAACAATAATATATAATCAATTCAATTGAAATACAGTAGCATGGAGTACAGATTAAAATATACATATAAATGTACAAAAGGCGGTCTTATCGCTAGGACAATCTCTTACAGACAACCTTTGGTTAAAGGAGCACATATAGAATCTATATATAATTAAATAAGAATGCTGATTGTTGACTGTCTGATCCATTTATCACTATACATGAACCATATGTCACGAACGCTCAGGGTATGCAATGAGCTCTTTGTTGAGCTCTTTCCAAGAGACTACAGCATGGGGTTCTTCAAAAAAGGGGGAAAAAAGGTTTCTTCGGGGTGAGCAACGCGCGCGTGATAACCCAAGTATTGTAGACGTTCATAGGTTACGGTAACTGCTTACCATGGGCCATATCAGGTGGGCCGTATGGCTGTTTGTCACCTCAGTGGTATAAAAAATATATGAATGCACAGCTGAAACTGCTATATTAAGAATTTTCACTGAAAGGTTCATTATACATCGTAGGTGAATAATACAAAAGGAATATTGAAAATTCAACCCCGAAGGGGGTAAAATTAGATTTGAAAATTGTATCTTGGAGTATCGTCAGTTTGGAAATTAGACATATGAAATTTAGTAGAAACAGAAATATAATGGTATGCGAGTGGAGCCACGGGTTATGGCTAGTCTACAATGATAACGATTAGACAATACAACCTTCAGAAGACAATAATTATCAATTATAACACTCATGAACGCCAATAAAACAATTTAGAAAATAAAAAAAAAAAACAAAATCCTTGATAAAAAAAAGCACCTTATCATCCATTAAAGTTATTTGTCATTGTGTATCATATAAAGTACATTGTGTGTTGATAATAAAATATAGTAATATGGGGCGGCCCATGCGATGACGTAGATATCTACTAGTAAATATACACGCGTGATAGGTGCGTGGCAGGACGGAATCGATATTGTGTTATCACATCAAAAATTTATTTCAAAAGAATATCGGACACCAGAATGCGTATAAATAGACCAAATGACAAACTAGAAGGACCAAAGTGTAGGTTAAATTTACATATTTTTATAAGAATTGTTAATTTAATATTTAAGTATTTAAAATTTTGCATGCCTAATTGTGGCGAAATATGTGGACTTAATATTATTTTATCTATCTGTATATTTACCATATTTCTTGCAAATAAATATTCATTCATTCAGTCATTCATTCATTCATTCATCCATTCATTCATTCATTTATTTATAAAAGAAGTGCCTACTGCTATTAAAGCTATTTAAGTTTATAACATCTACCAAACTACGTTAAAGAAGTAACAGCTCATACAGTGTTTAAAGGTAAACTCAACAACCAAAACACAGCACAACCACTCTTTGGAATCAACTTCCAGCAGCAGTATTTCCGATACGACATCATAACCTTCAAGAAAAGAGCATATTTCCTTTAAAAGGCCGGCAGCACACTTGCTATGCCTTTGGTTTTGTGGGTGATCATGGCGGCGGTAGTCACTTACCGTCAGGTGAACGGCAACACTAGGTATCATGTCGTATAGGGAGGTCAAGGATATGGCCTGGGATTGTACTAGCTGAAAGAAGATGCATGAATTAGTTGCACCGACAAGAGGAAACTCTTATATGAAAAAGAGAAGAGAGAGTATATAGTTTTTATATCATTAATGAATATTTCTCTAAAAAAAAACAAATGTTCTTTACTAACTAATTAATACGCTCTCTGTATCTAATAGTCTGTTAAAATTATTTATTTATAATATTGGAATATATTTTTGGTAAACTTTACAGATTTACCAATGCACTCACCAAAAACTAAAAATGCAGCAAAAGGGACGCCCTTTTTAAAGATTATCAAAACCTAACTGCAGTTGCCAATCCGTCTGCCAAGCGTGGCAACTACTGGCAAAACCTCCCTTTTCTGGCCTTGTGGTATGAGGCTTATATTCAGCAGTGGACAGTTAACGGCTCGTATAATGAATCTATTAAATAAATATATTTCAGTAAATATTGAAGTCAATGCACTCTATTAAGGCTAAAAATCTTGTCATGTTACGTATCACGCCTGTAATTCAAGATACGTGTTATGATAAACGCTTATATTTACAATATTTTTATACCATGACACGATATTGTAACGATACTTACCTATTATGTACTCGTTTATACGGTGTCTGGTACTGTGAACGATGTAAAATAACGGTACGCATTGTCAGATAGAGTAATCGCATCTGCTTATCACAGATAACGAACTGTGATTAGGTAATGTTATTTAATTATCTCTAATCTATACTAATTATTTCCCTCTGCTTCACTCACGTGAATGTAGATTGTTGATTGAAAAATGACGTACAATGAGTTGCACATTATATCTATCATTAATGATTTTGTATTTCCACTAAAAAAAAAAAAAAAAAATGTAGCAACGCCCAGATTATTGATTGTAAAAATAATTGTGAAATTTTATTCAGCACTGCCGGCGTAATAGGATAACGTAGTCAAAGAAATAATCAAACGAATCGAGAATCCTCTTTTGGAATTCGCCTAAAGTATGTTCAAATTATACAGTATGTCATTAAATAATTGTAGTGATGAAAATGGTATTCTACGTATTTCCATGTCTGTTGGTGACCGTTACCACTTTCCATCTGGGTGGGCCGTCAGCTTGTTTGCCATTCTAAGTTGCATAAAAAAATTCCAAAAAAACTTTCTCTATCAGATTTCATAACATAGCTGTGTTAGTTAGTTTGGGATTATTTCTTTTTTAATGGGTGAAAATGAAATGGTGACCCTGTCTGCGGTATCTATCGATATACACTAGCGGAGCACCTGTAAGAGATAGTAGGTGAGAAAGGTCAGTTGGTTTATCGTGATGAATTTAACAAGTTTCCAGAGGTAATTGCCTAAAAGTCGACGTGTTAGGATATATTGCTAGCATTTTCTTTTTCGTTTTCTACGTAACATTTTTTTTATATAACTTAGAATGGCAAACAAACTAACGACCCACCTGATGGAAAGTCGTAACCGTCGCCTATAGACATGAGCAGTACCATGAACATAACAGAGTATACTGTTTCGTCCATGATACCCCCCATGCGTTGCCATTCCTGAGGACTCAGGTGTTATTCCTCTGTACCCTGTAAATTCACGCCATATCCCACCCTTCAAACCGTAACACATATCGAAAAGTTCTTATTGTCATCAACAGTCCCGCAACGTGGCGCCAAACGAGCGGGTGTACACTCTCCGTACGCGGCCACCGTCGCTGCTGCCTCCGTCACCTTTGAGCCTGGCGAGTTCTGGCGACAAGTCGCTGGCGGCGCACACGCACTCGCCGTCGCTGGAGCGGCCGGCGAGCCAGCCGCAGCCGCCGCCGTCCACCGCCAGCTTCGTGTGCTACGTGTGCGGAGTCAGCGCGCCCAGCTCGCAGCTCCGGCTCGTCTACTGCTGCTCCAACCCGGAGCGGGAGCCCTACTACCCCTTCATCACCACGCTGAAGCCCCACCCGGACGCGAGTCCGATTAGTCCACAGGGTGAGTGGACCGTTTTGACAGTTGACTTCTGTGCGTGTCGTAAGAGGCGACTAAGGGATGTAGCAGCGTCCAACTTAAATCACCACCAAAGCCTGTGTTTTCTAACTCGCCCGCCAAGCGTGGCAACTACTGACAAAACCTCCCTTATGGGGTATGTCTATGTTCGTCAGTGGACAGTTAAAGGCTGATGTGATGATGATGAGGAGCCAGCCAGGAGATCATGGAGATTTTGTAAACAAATATAATAATAAAGTCAGTCATTTTGGAAGGAGAAAAAAAAATTATAGGTTTTCATTGGTAACGATCGAACAATTCCCATTACATTCCATCCATCCAAAGACCATCGGCCTTCGCAGTCAAGTTGCAAAGAATTCAGCAGAAATGTTTTTGCTACTGCACTCGCAAGAAAGAACAAGACGCAGAATGGTACAGTTTAGTTGCTAAGACGTTCGCTATTAACGTAGTTGTTACTTATCTATAGAAGCAGAGGGCGCCCGTGCAGACGTGTGAAATAATTAATATCTTTTGTATACGCAGGTATGGTTCAAATTTGCGCGTCGTGTTATAAGACTATCCCCCTGAAGTACCCAGCGTACGGGGAGAATGGCGAACCGAATCCAGCGCATAACAATTCACATTCAAATAATATTAGGTAAGCATTTCTTAAATTTTATCATGAGGGTGTCGCTAGAGGGTGTCACTGTATATTAAAGCAGCCTAAAAGGCCGGCAACGCACAAGGAAGTCCTCTCGTGTTGCAGGTGTTCATGGGCGACGGTAGCCGTTTCCCATCAGGTGGACCGTCTGTTCATTTGACTCCCTAATAATAAAATATGATTCATGAATAACTAAGATTGTATTAAAAAAAACCGACTTCAGTTGTGTCAATTTATTTTGAATTAAAAACTACTAAATAAATTTTGATAAAATTTCTACGGGACCAACCTGTAGATATTATATTCACGTGAAAAAAAAAAGAATTATCCAAATCGGTTTAAAACTGATTGTAACAATAAAAAGACAAGCTAATTGAAAACTTGCTTCTTTTTGAACTCTGCTGTTAATATAAAAATACCATTCGTGTTTCTGCCATGCAGCAGCCATTCTACGGTTCCAAGGATGGTTTCTAGCAGAGAGATAATACGTGCATATGTAACGTAGACGATTTTACAGTGTTCATATAAACAAACTATGTGGTTTTCAGGTTTAAGCCGTACGACATGAAGTCTAGTTCGAGTCAATCAAGCAAACGGGCGCCGAACACGCTCGCCGGCAGTCCGCAGGGCCAGATCGTCTCCGGCGAGAATGGCATGGGCCTGTATAGGTGAGTGTAGACGCAATGATATTAATGAATTTACACGGTACAGAGGAATAACACCTGAGTCCTCAGGAATGGCAACGCAGGGGGAGTATCAGGGGCGAAACAGTATACTCTGTTATGTCCATGGCACTGCTCATGTCTATAGGCGACGGTTACCACTTTCCATCAGGCGGACCGTCAGCTTATGTCCCATTCTAAGGTTGAAAAAAATTTGGCTAGTGCCATGCTATAACATAACATCGACTTTTGATCGTGTCATAATCATCATAATTATATCAGGGGTATCTTGCCAATAGTTGCCACGCTCGACAGGCGGGTTTGGCAACTGCAATTAGATTTCGGTGATGTTTTTAAAGTATCCTTAGACTAATTATTTTATATATGTAGTCAACATTAATCGGGCTCAAGCCTTGTACATTTCTGAAAATTTAAGATATTTTTTTTTAGTATATAGAGTGTATGAAAAGTATTTTAGTGGAAATGCCGTGTGGTCCTAGTATAGAATAGGTTACCCCCTTTTTTCCGTGGGTGTCGTAATAGGCGACTCAGGGAGGACGAGAGATGGGCAGTAACGTCCCTTTTAAAACATTTTCAGGCCTACCTGCGGTTTCCAATGCGCAATGACAAGCATGGTAACTATTGACAAAATCCCTTAAGGGCGAGGCTTAAGTTCAGCAGCAGTGAAATGCGGCTGAAATGATGATGATGATTTTAGTGGAAATAATGAGATGTAAGGAACTTGCAATATCAGATTTATTACGCGCGTGTTGCCGACCTTGAAAAAACTTTTACCTCCCTTTTGAAAAACTCCATGTTTTAAACTCCATGTTGTAGTCTTTTGGGAAAACTTCGGCAGGGAGCTCATTCCATAACCTTGTTCGTGGGAGAAAACATCTCTGAAATTGTGCTGTATGCGACTATTTAGGCTGTAGGCTATGAGGATTGTATTCAGATTAAATTGTTTCAATGACGTAACAGTGGAACAGGAATCCTACCTGTATTGCCGGTATCCGCTGCGCTCCGGACTCGATGGTGATAGTAGAGATGTCTGCGCTTGCAGGTGCTACGTGTGCGCGGGCCTGTTCCCGCAGCAGTCGATGGAGTGGCTGTCGACGACGGCGGAGTACATGAACTCGCACGCGATGCACTTCCCGTGCCTGGCGTCGTCGGCAGCCGGCGCTGCCGGTGGCGGCGGGGCCGGCGGGGCCGGCGGGGCCGGCGGCGGCGCGGCGGCGCGCGGCGGCCGCGTGCTGGCGTGCTCGCGCTGCGTGCGCCACCTGGCGCGCCAGTGGGAGCTGCTGGACGCCGAGCGCGTGCCGCTCGAGCACCGCAGGTACTCCTACACCGCACTACTCCTCGCCCGCGCTGCCCTCCTGCTGCTGCTGCTGCTGCTGCTGCTGCTGCTGCTGCTGCTGGTGGCGGCGGCCGCGTGCTGGCGTGCTCGCGCTGCGTGCGCCACCTGGCGCGCCAGTGGGAGCTGCTGGACGCCGAGCGCGTGCCGCTCGAGCACCGCAGGTACTCCTACACCGCACTACTCCTCGCCCGCGCTGCCCTCCTGCTGCTGCTGCTGCTGCTGCTGCTGCTGCTGCTGCTGCTGGTGGCGGCGGCCGCGTGCTGGCGTGCTCGCGCTGCGTGCGCCACCTGGCGCGCCAGTGGGAGCTGCTGGACGCCGAGCGCGTGCCGCTCGAGCACCGCAGGTACTCCTACACCGCACTACTCCTCGCCCGCGCTGCCCTCCTGCTGCTGCTGCTGCTGCTGCTGCTGCTGCTGCTGCTGCTGGTGGCGGCGGCCGCGTGCTGGCGTGCTCGCGCTGCGTGCGCCACCTGGCGCGCCAGTGGGAGCTGCTGGACGCCGAGCGCGTGCCGCTCGAGCACCGCAGGTACTCCTACACCGCACTACTCCTCGCCCGCGCTGCCCTCCTGCTGCTGCTGCTGCTGCTGCTGCTGCTGCTGCTGCTGGTGGCGGCGGCCGCGTGCTGGCGTGCTCGCGCTGCGTGCGCCACCTGGCGCGCCAGTGGGAGCTGCTGGACGCCGAGCGCGTGCCGCTCGAGCACCGCAGGTACTCCTACACCGCACTACTCCTCGCCCGCGCTGCCCTCCTGCTGCTGCTGCTGCTGCTGCTGCAGCTGCTGCTGCTGGTGGCGGCGGCCGCGTGCTGGCGTGCTCGCGCTGCGTGCGCCACCTGGCGCGCCAGTGGGAGCTGCTGGACGCCGAGCGCGTGCCGCTCGAGCACCGCAGGTACTCCTACACCGCACTACTCCTCGCCCGCGCTGCCCTCCTGCTGCTGCTGCTGCTGCTGCTGCTGCTGCTGCTGCTGCTGTGGCGGCGGCCGCGTGCTGGCGTGCTCGCGCTGCGTGCGCCACCTGGCGCGCCAGTGGGAGCTGCTGGACGCCGAGCGCGTGCCGCTCGAGCACCGCAGGTACTCCTACACCGCACTACTCCTCGCCCGCGCTGCCCTCCTGCTGCTGCTGCTGCTGCTGCTGCTGCTGCTGCTGCTGGTGGCGGCGGCCGCGTGCTGGCGTGCTCGCGCTGCGTGCGCCACCTGGCGCGCCAGTGGGAGCTGCTGGACGCCGAGCGCGTGCCGCTCGAGCACCGCAGGTACTCCTACACCGCACTACTCCTCGCCCGCGCTGCCCTCCTGCTGCTGCTGCTGCTGCTGCTGCTGCTGCTGCTGCTGGTGGCGGCGGCCGCGTGCTGGCGTGCTCGCGCTGCGTGCGCCACCTGGCGCGCCAGTGGGAGCTGCTGGACGCCGAGCGCGTGCCGCTCGAGCACCGCAGGTACTCCTACACCGCACTACTCCTCGCCCGCGCTGCCCTCCTGCTGCTGCTGCTGCTGCTGCTGCTGCTGCTGCTGCTGGTGGCGGCGGCCGCGTGCTGGCGTGCTCGCGCTGCGTGCGCCACCTGGCGCGCCAGTGGGAGCTGCTGGACGCCGAGCGCGTGCCGCTCGAGCACCGCAGGTACTCCTACACCGCACTACTCCTCGCCCGCGCTGCCCTCCTGCTGCTGCTGCTGCTGCTGCTGCTGCTGCTGCTGCTGGTGGCGGCGGCCGCGTGCTGGCGTGCTCGCGCTGCGTGCGCCACCTGGCGCGCCAGTGGGAGCTGCTGGACGCCGAGCGCGTGCCGCTCGAGCACCGCAGGTACTCCTACACCGCACTACTCCTCGCCCGCGCTGCCCTCCTGCTGCTGCTGCTGCTGCTGCTGCTGCTGCTGCTGCTGCTGCTGCTGGTGGCGGCGGCCGCGTGCTGGCGTGCTCGCGCTGCGTGCGCCACCTGGCGCGCCAGTGGGAGCTGCTGGACGCCGAGCGCGTGCCGCTCGAGCACCGCAGGTACTCCTACACCGCACTACTCCTCGCCCGCGCTGCCCTCCTGCTGCTGCTGCTGCTGCTGCTGCTGCTGCTGCTGCTGGTGGCGGCGGCCGCGTGCTGGCGTGCTCGCGCTGCGTGCGCCACCTGGCGCGCCAGTGGGAGCTGCTGGACGCCGAGCGCGTGCCGCTCGAGCACCGCAGGTACTCCTACACCGCACTACTCCTCGCCCGCGCTGCCCTCCTGCTGCTGCTGCTGCTGCTGCTGCTGCTGCTGCTGCTGCTGCTGGTGGCGGCGGCCGCGTGCTGGCGTGCTCGCGCTGCGTGCGCCACCTGGCGCGCCAGTGGGAGCTGCTGGACGCCGAGCGCGTGCCGCTCGAGCACCGCAGGTACTCCTACACCGCACTACTCCTCGCCCGCGCTGCCCTCCTGCTGCTGCTGCTGCTGCTGCTGCTGCTGCTGCTGCTGGTGGCGGCGGCCGCGTGCTGGCGTGCTCGCGCTGCGTGCGCCACCTGGCGCGCCAGTGGGAGCTGCTGGACGCCGAGCGCGTGCCGCTCGAGCACCGCAGGTACTCCTACACCGCACTACTCCTCGCCCGCGCTGCCCTCCTGCTGCTGCTGCTGCTGCTGCTGCTGCTGCTGCGGCTGGTGGCGGCGGCCGCGTGCTGGCGTGCTCGCGCTGCGTGCGCCACCTGGCGCGCCAGTGGGAGCTGCTGGACGCCGAGCGCGTGCCGCTCGAGCACCGCAGGTACTCCTACACCGCACTACTCCTCGCCCGCGCTGCCCTCCTGCTGCTGCTGCTGCTGCTGCTGCTGCTGCTGCTGCTGCTGCTGGCGGCGGCCGCGTGCTGGCGTGCTCGCGCTGCGTGCGCCACCTGGCGCGCCAGTGGGAGCTGCTGGACGCCGAGCGCGTGCCGCTCGAGCACCGCAGGTACTCCTACACCGCACTACTCCTCGCCCGCGCTGCCCTCCTGCTGCTGCTGCTGCTGCTGCTGCTGCTGCTGCTCTGCTCGCGCTGCGTGGCGGCGGCCGCGTGCTGGCGTGCTCGCGCTGCGTGCGCCACCTGGCGCGCCAGTGGGAGCTGCTGGACGCCGAGCGCGTGCCGCTCGAGCACCGCAGGTACTCGCTACACCGCACTACTCCTCGCCCGCGCTGCCCTCCTGCTGCTGCTGCTGCTGCTGCTGCTGCTGCTGCTGCTGCTGCTGGGGGCGGCGGCCGCGTGCTGGCGTGCTCGCGCTGCGTGCGCCACCTGGCGCGCCAGTGGGAGCTGCTGGACGCCGAGCGCGTGCCGCTCGAGCACCGCAGGTACTCCTACACCGCACTACTCCTCGCCCGCGCTGCCCTCCTGCTGCTGCTGCTGCTGCTGCTGCTGCTGCTGCTGCTGGTGGCGGCGGCCGCGTGCTGGCGTGCTCGCGCTGCGTGCGCCACCTGGCGCGCCAGTGGGAGCTGCTGGACGCCGAGCGCGTGCCGCTCGAGCACCGCAGGTACTCCTACACCGCACTACTCCTCGCCCGCGCTGCCCTCCTGCTGCTGCTGCTGCTGCTGCTGCTGCTGCTGGGGTGGCGGCGGCCGCGTGCTGGCGTGCTCGCGCTGCGTGCGCCACCTGGCGCGCCAGTGGGAGCTGCTGGACGCCGAGCGCGTGCCGCTCGAGCACCGCAGGTACTCCTACACCGCACTACTCCTCGCCCGCGCTGCCCTCCTGCTGCTGCTGCTGCTGCTGCTGCTGCTGCTGCTGGTGGCGGCGGCCGCGTGCTGGCGTGCTCGCGCTGCGTGGCAGGTCCAGGGGCACTACAGACTATATTAAATATTCCTCTCCATCCAAAGATTACCTTGAAGAGATCGATTTTAGTAATAAGACTTTCTCATTGTGATTATTTCCTTTAACTGTTTATATTTATAATAAGTTTACTATTGTAATCTTTTGGAGGAAACAATAAAGAGTCTCTATCTATCTAAAAAATTTGATTTTATTAAGTAATTTATCGTCACAAATATCTAATAATATATGTTTGTTTCAGATATAATATACCTTCACCGTTACCGTCGAATTCATCGATGAACGGCGATCGAGTGATACCCACCCCACCTTCAACCACCTCCGATAGAACTGTTGCTAGTAATAGTGGTGAGTTCGTGCTGTTGGCCCTGTGCCCGTCAGTAGCGTTATACAATACTTGCAAATTTAATAGTCTTATGAGACTCTTCAGCTAGTGTTGGTTGTGGATCGGGCAAGGGAAGAATACGTTTACATCTGGGCACAAATTGACACGGTCATAGGTCCCGGCATAGAATCGGCTACCCCCTTCTTTTCCTGTAGTTGTAAGAGGCGACTAAGGGAACTTATTGAGCGAAGGATAGGCAGCAGTCTCGCTTAAAACATTATCACAGGCCTAATTGCGGTTGCCAATCTGCCTACCAAGCGTGGCAACTACTGGCAAAACCCCATGGGATTATGGGGGAGGCCTATGTTCAGCAGTGGACAATTAATAGCTAATATGGTATGGAAGTCTGGCAACGTCGCCTAATTTGTCAATTTTCGGCACCTATTTAATTTGTCTGAAAATGCCTTGTTTAGAGGCGAAACACGTGATGCAAAACGTGCGTGAACGGAATGACGGTCGGGGATTGATGGCTAATATGGAAGGTTGTAGAACTTAACTTATCAAACATTTTATGTATATTTTTGACACTTGTAAATTTTTTCATTGCAAATTATAAAATTACTCCAGCGTGGCGTATAGATGCTTTAAAATGTTTTACAATCACAAAATAATTTTTAGAAAATAACTTATACGTTTATTTCATATTTCTGTTACTATAATTTTCCAATTATTTTTAAATCATATCTAATCTCCTATATGGTATCTATAATATATAACGTTATGGTGTTTGTTGTCGCAGCGTGTACATCAATATACTGTTTCCTGTGCGGGCTGCACTCGGACTTCACGCTGGCGCGGATACTGTACGGCCAGCCGCAAGGGAACGCGCCCTACTTCCCCTGTCTACTCACGCATCAGGTCAGCGGCCACATACAACTGTCTATACGCACGGCAAGTCTCTAGCGGGATAGCCAGTGAAAATTGCCAATAATCTCTGCCCTCACATGTATCTCTTCCTTCGTCTATTGTGGGCATGGAATTAGGTGCTTCACGGTAGAAATACGAGCAATACATGGCGGACAACGAAATCTTGATCTGCTGTAATGGGTATATGTCATAAAAGCTTTTTAATTTTTTTTTATTGCCGGGTAGTCCTTACATAGAATGGACCGCACCTTCCTGTCCCGTGGGTGTTGTTAGAGGCAACTAAGGGAGGTTAATAGTCGAGCGATGGGCAGCAGCGTCTCTCTTAAAACATCACCTAACCCGTCTGCTAAGCGTGGCAGCTGTTGGCAAAACTCTCCATTATGGGAGATGCTTGTTTAAGAGTGGACAGTTAATGGTTGATACAGTATATTTTAATTGCAGAGTCATCCAAACGCGGAGCAGTTGCGTGAGAACGGCTCCGCGCTAGTCTGTACGTTTTGTTACCACTCGTTGCTGAGCCAGTGGAGGCGGTGAGTAGTGCATCTTTTGTAATTCCAATCTTGTCATCTTGGTTATAAGTACGTATATTGTTTGTAACGGATATGGAACAAATATGAAAATTATACTTTTAGCCCATCTACTTGACGGTCTGTGAAAATACAAAAAAAATTATAAACATATTATGTTTAATTTGTAAACTTCGTCCTTACATTTTTTTTTTATACAACTTAGAATGGCAAACAAGCTGACGGCCCACCTGATGGAAAGTGGTAACCGTCGTCTATAAACATGAGCAGTACCATGGACATAACAGAGTATACTGTTTCGCCCATGATACCCCCCATGCGTTGCCATTCCTGAGGACTCAGGTGTTATTCCTCTGTACCCTGTAAATTCACATATCATCTAATACTAATTATTTAGAGAGGAAACATTAGAATTTTTGTTTGTCAGATAAAAATTGTCATTAATGCGTGTAAATTAGCTACCAACGTAATATATGATGGTGCAGGTACGAGGCGGCGGGTGGCTGTGCGCCCGAGCGGCGCGTGTACAACACGCACGACTACCACTGCCACTTGTGCGGCATCAAGACCTACCGCAAGAGGGTGCGGGCCTTGCCTATCAAGGTGAGCGGCCGTCTCTACACACTACCAATACATCTATCTGGGGGCAAGGGATTGTTAGTAATGGGGTCTAATGAACCCATTGCTAGCAATACACTATCAGGTCCACCTCCACGTGGTTCCCCCTGGAAACCATTGTGAACAATTCTTGTTGAATTCGTCACAATGTGCTAACTGACCTGCTTCATCCTCATCTATCATCCTTCACTGGTGCATACAGATAGCGCGGGCGGGGTTACCATTCCATTATCACCCATTAAAAAAAAATACATCTATCTATCCTATTTAAGAGCTGCGCTCTTGTCGGTGGAGCTCTCGCCACTCACTACGATTTTCAGCGAGTCTCTTCACCTCTTGACAAGATACGACACCAACTCCTTCCTTGATCTGCCTGATGCAACTATGCCTTGATCTCCCTTTTTCTCTCCTTCCTTTTATCTTACTTCCTGTTATAATGTTCATAAGTTCGTCGTGTCGCATCAAGTGTCAATTTTTTCCCCTTCTGTCAATACAATACACTTACTTATACTTTTTTTTTTTAAATTGGTGATAATGAAATAGTAACCCGGCCTCCGCTGTCGGTATATGCTGGCAAGGCACCAGTGATTGATGATAGGTGAAGATGAGAGCAGGTCAGTTAGCCCATCGTGATGAAATTTACGAGAATTGACCATGATGGTTTCCAGGGGGTAACTAAAAGCCATTTCCTAACAATACTACAATTTTAAATATATCCTAAGAAGGGAAAATATTTTTTGATATTTTAAAATCGCTACTCCATGTACTAGGAGAACAGAACTTGGTTGGAGGTGATAACGTTACGGGCGGAAGTATTTGAAATAATATAGTTGTAATGTTCTTGTATGGTTTAGTTTGTATCCATATCACATATACACACTATTTTCTGTATATTATTATACATAATATAGCATACACACACATACATATAATAAGTGTCGTTTCTGCACGTCTATAGTAAATATTTTTTGTTACAGGAATTCCCATTTTTAATGCAAAGGCGGACTGAAAATTCATTATTATTAGAAAATGGCGACTATGCCGTAGTATGTTTAGATTGTTATGAAAGTTTAAGGTGAGTGACGGTTAAGGAACTATGTATTGTTTATATAAACAGGAGTTGTTACAACAGCTTAACAGTTAAATAATTTATCGTATATTAAAAAGAAACTTGCAATATATATATATATATATATATATATATATATATATATATAACTTATATTTTATACAACTTTAATGGTAAATAAGCTGACGGCCCATCTGTTGGAAAGTGGTAACCGTCGCCTGCCATATCCCACCCTTCAAACCGAAACACAGCCATGCAAACACAACTGTTTCACTAGTCTAAGGTGTACAAGTATAGTCTTTATAGATCGAGCCCAGAGCCTCAAAAATTGGTCAACTTGTTATTTAATTCGAATTAGTTGTCTTTTTTTTATCAGTGTTCTATATATTTACGCATAAAATGTATCTTGACGTATTATTTAATAAATAAAATGAGTGTTTACGCACTACAAAAATATGCATAACAAGAGAAATAGAGAAGTTACAAATTAATCACTCATAACTATTTATCACGCAAAATTGTATGAAAAAGTTGAGTCGTTTGCTGCTGAGAGCAGCATTAGTATAGGGAGACTCGTAGTCGTATAATGTGAGAGTGTAAGTAGTGTGACGTGGGCGTGTGTGGCAGGACGCAGGCGCAGGACTACGAGCGGCGCGGCGTGCCGGTGGACAAGCGCGAGTACAACTGGCTGCAGCAGCCGCCGCCGCCCGAGGACAGCGCCGACGTCACCATCGCGCGCCTGCCCTCCGGCGACCGCTCCGACAAGCTGGTGCGTGCGTCCGACCGGCAACACCTTCAACAGGGTGGCCAAGGGATCGTTAGCAATGGAGTTTGACAGCCCCATTGCTAGTAATATGCCTTATTAGGTTGACCTCCACGTGGTTCCCCCTGGAAACCATCGTGAACAATTCTTGTTGAATTCGTCACGATGGGCTAACTGATCTGCTTCATCCTCACCTATCATCCTTTACTGGTGCCCCGCCGGTATATACCGATAGCGCGGGTGGGGTTACCATTTCATTATCATCCATTAAAACGCCTTCAACATCACTCCACTCGCTGGTATATCGCCAGCTTTACCAACTGTTCCCATATAATACATACATACATACATATCTGTCAGCCTTCTATGTCGAGGCTGTTTCGACGCCGTAGAAAGGACTACTCGCGAAATCCTCGAATGTGAAGCTGTAGCCCATCAACGTTTAGAAATCCTTGGAACGGTGAGGTCGCTCCGTGACGCTTGTGAAGATCCCAGGAAGCTTCTGTGCTTCAGGGCGAAGCTGCGTTGGCTGTACTAGCCACGACTCAAACGCACAACGGCCCAAATGAGAGGTTTATCTTGGAAAAGAGAGTCCAATTTACATTACATTACATATCTGTCACGCCTGTCTCCCATTTTTTTAATGGGTGATAATGGAATGGTAGCCCCGCCTGCGCTACACAGTCGGGGCACCAGTGAGGCATGATAGGTGAGGATGAAAAGAGGTCTATTAACCCATCGTGTTAAATACACATGGAACTTAGCACGATGGTTTCCAGGGGACCCACGTGCAGGTCGACTCGATTGAGAATATTGCTAGCAACGGGGAACTTAGTCTCAATTATTAATAATCCCTTTCTCCCAAGAATGTTGTTGTTTTCCGCGTCCCGTTATCTTCGGCGCTGGTAGATATTGGATTAGATGACTTCATTGAACTGGACTGTTCCAGATCCCGCAGTCGCTGGTGATGTCTCGCAGCTCGTCGAAACGCAACAGCCCCAAGCAGCCGGCCGCCGCGCTCGCTGACAGAAGACTGACGCCCGCCAAGGTCGACAAAGCCGATCAAGGTCAGTGACCTTACACACCATTTATTACATAATTAGATCACTGTGGCACTCCGGTGCCCACGTTGCTTTGCGTAAATAAGGTCCTAGGTTCGAATCCTGGTCGGGTCAATTATGAAAATTGACTTTTTTTTTTAATTGGCTTAAGTGTGGGTGTTTTGGATAGTGTCCCCAGGTGCTTATTGCCTGGTTCCTCCTAACACGAGACCTTCCTTGAGGACCAGTTATTTGGTGTGATTGTATGATACTTATTATGATTTTAAGTCCTGCAGTAACAGCTGAAGGTCAATGGATTACTCCTAAGCAAACAACTTATGAGTTATTTCCTTTTTATTATTTTTTATTATTATTTCTTAATTATATAGCTACATACATATCTGTCACGCCTGTCTCCCATTACAGTAGGTAGGCAGAAACAATGGAACGCCAAATGGTTCGATTCAAACAAACCTCTTTCGTTTCTTCCACACTCATCAATCTTTTGATACACGCTCGCTGGTTTGGTTGACATACGCGTGTACATTGTTATGCATTGCAAGGAGTCAGTGGATGCAAGTGGCTCAGGACCGTTCCTTATGGCAGTTTATGGGGGAGGCTTATGTCCAGCAGTGGACGGATAATGGCTGAAATGATGATTATGATGATGATATAATAAATAAATATTTGTCAGTGTAATATACCGCTCACTCGACACTACTGTCCTTAGATCTGATGACAAGATTCCGTGAACGAGACTATATAAATTCATTACAAAATATAAATCTATCTATACTTATAATAAATCTGTGGAGAGGTCAATTCTGTACATGAAATATATTTACAAAATAACTATCAGCGGGTGAATAGTGATCGATACTGATGCCAAAAATGCAATCGGTAAAATTTTTGTCTGTCTGTCTGTATGTTCGTTATAGAAACAAAAATTACTCGACGGATTTTAACGAAACTTGGTACAATTATTCTTCACACTCCTGGGCAGGTTATAGTATACTTTTCATCACGCTACGATCAATAGGAGCAGAGCAGTGAAGGGAAATGTTGGGAAAACGGGAGAAGTTACTCCATTTTAAAGCTTCCGTCGCGTGTGCAGCCTTAATGGTTACTTTTTAAAATGTAAAAATGTCCACTCGTGCGACGCCGGGACGGGCCGCTAGTAAATAATAAAATAAAGACGCATTCCTATTTTTGTGCCCTCAAATTCCGGCGATGTCTTTCTATACAAAACAATGAAAATATTCATTTATTCCGCGGGCGCTGCAGGTCGCATTGTACTCAGCGCCGGAGATCGGGGGCGGTCGGAACCACCTGTGGATGTTAAGTGCCACCCCGCCATATTGGCAAAGAGCATCTAACCGCGCAGATGGTTACACCTTATTTTACCTTTCGAACTGTTTAACGTCGAGAGAGGATTGTTAGTAACGGACTCTAGCAGCATTTTCTTGATAATACTTGTTTCGGTCCGATATATAGATTTAATTCCTTTACGTTGTTATTGTATTAAAAAAAAAAACTATTAAAACATTATAATAAAAAAAGTATTAAAAAATGGCTCCGTAAGGAAGGAACAGGTTTTATAAAATTTCCCGAAGTAATATTATTCACCTAATAACCTGCGGAGACAAATCAACTTTCTTCTCAGACTATCCAATACTTACTAGCAACAGATTTTCGTTACCCAGTGAGGAACTAAGGGTAAGAAGGACTAATATAGGCTATCCTAGTTTATGGACCACGTGATTGGTGTAATTATCTGGCACTTGTAACATGCACACCTTTTTTGGTCGATTTTCGTATGGTCCTCCTGGAAACTGGTTTTTTTTTATGGGTGGTAATGGTAATAAAAAATGGTATAGTAACCCCGCCTACGCTAACGGGATACGCTGGCGGAGCACCAGTGAAGGGTGATAGATGAGAATGAAAACAGGCCAGTTAGCCCAATATGATGAATTCATCAGGAATTGACCATGATAGTTTCCAGGGAGAACCGCGAGGAGATCGACCTGGTTGAGTATATTGTTAGCAATGGGATTCTCAGTTTCCATTACTAGCAATCCCTTTCTTCCCGGGAAGGGCTTGTTAGTAATGCGGACTACGAATCCCATTGCTAGCAATATACCCTGTCAAGTCAACCTCCACGTAATTCACTCTGAAAACCATCGTGCTCAATTCCAGGTGTATTCATCATGGTGGGCCTACTGACCTGCTTCATCCTCACCTATCATCTGTTACTGGTGCCCCGTTAGTGTATACCGATAGCGCGGACGGGGTTGCCATTCTATTGTCATTCATTAAAAACAACATTATGCTAGGCAGAGTATTGCTTACTTGATCAAGCGATCAAGCGTTGAATAGGCGGCTTAGTATAATGAAAAATTTTATAATGATTGGCTTAACATTGAAGGGCTCAAGAGGTGAATAAAACCGGAGGTTACCAGAGGGAGACTTTGTACAAAAGTCGGTTGCTTGGGTACCTCTGTCCCATTCGTGTTTCAACCCTGAAGCAGTTGTGTTTGCATGGCTGTGTTTCGATTTGAAGGGTGGGATATGGCGGGAATTTACTGGGTACAGAGGAATAACACCTGAGTCCTCAGGAATGGCAACGCATGGGCGGGTATCATGGGCGAAACAGTACACTCTGTTATGTCCATGGTACTGCTCATGTGTATAGGCGACGGTTACCACTTTCCATCAGGTGGGCCGTCGGATTGTTTGCCATTCTATGTTGTATAAAAAAAAAAAACATTATCACATTTATAAATATTAGTAAAGATACAGTTGTACCGAATGACTTTCAAAACCTATACCTCTTATTATTTGCCCAATAAAGGCACAAACGCATCCTTCAGAGTCCTGACCTGTCTGCTCACAGTTTAGTCTTTCCCCCCGCCGTAACCGAATACCTCCTTAAGTGGTTGCCGGGCCCCTTTACACGGCAGCTTGGCGCCCTCCGCCGTCGCGCTTACTTGTTTATTTTTATCCACAACTAGGGTTGCCACATTTTGTTCCAACAAATAAAGTGTATTTTCCTGTTGAGCTAGAAAAAGAGTACATTGTAGCACAATTTATATTACTTTTTATATTATTCTTGTTATGTTTAGCAATAAATAAATCTTCCTCCACGCCGTAGTTCTTCAAGTTTTCTTTGCATGATAGATAGTCCTTTCGGTTCTTGTTTTTCTACCATGAAGCTGTTGTAATTGCTTGTCTGTGTTTCGGTTTGAAGGGTGAACTATAGCAATGAAATTATAGGGTACAGAGGAATAACACATGAGTCCTCAGGACTGGCAACGCATGGGGAGTATCATGGGCGAAACAGTGTACTCTGTTACGCCCATGGTACTGCTCATGTCTATAGGCGACGGTTACAACTTTCCGTTAGGTGGGCGGTCAGCTTGTTTGCCATTCTAAGTTGCATAAAAAAAAAACTAGCTAAAATAGGTTCATGAGACATTTTACTTTTTTATGAATGACAGGATAATAATTTTATACGTATGTATAATATATTGAATTGCTAACTATGCAGCATTTATTGCCAACATAGTACCTGCCTGTCAACATATTGTTACGTATCATATTTCGCCTCATTTTTACATCCACATAAATTCCTTTGTTTTCCTAGAAATATAGTATTACTTCTATTTACGACCGTTTCAACCATTACGAAAATCTGCCATATGTTATTGCATTAAGGTTACAATTTCGCGGTGTGTTTGCTTTGTGACATTTTACCACTGAGCGATTTAATATGATGAGAGTAAGCCGGGATATCACAACGTATTGGCATTTCATATAGATTGTATTCAGCTCTTGCTACGGTATGCGGGATAAGCGAAGAGCGGTTTGTTAACTTTTTTTTTTATACGGTTTAGAATGTCAAACAAGCTGACGGTCCACCTGATGGAAAGTGGTAACCGTCGCCTATAGACATAAGCAGTACCATGGACATAACAGGGTATACTGTTTCGCCCATGATACCCCCCATGCGTTGCCATTCCTGAGGACTCAGGTGTTATTCCTTTGTAGCCTGTAAATTCACTGCCATATCTCACCCTTCAAACCGAAACACAGCCATGCAAACACAACTGCTTCACGGTAGAAACACGAATGGGACAGAGGTACCCAAGCAATCGACTTTTGTACAAAGTCTCCCTCTGGTTTTGTTTTATTTTTTTTATCTTATTATCAACTGTAAAGTAATATGTAATTTAAATAGTATATTTTCAATTGACGCGATGATTAATGCCGTAAAATTATTACAAATGTAATTATCAAATAATAAGTAAACAACATTAAGTAATCCTTACTTATATATAAATGTGAAAATAAGTTTTTTAGTTTGTTACCTTGTAGTGCCTTGATCAATAAATACTATGATATAAAAGGTATATTTAATTCTAACTGCATTCTCTTCCAATCAAAATATTTTGTATTCACCGAAAATATCATCATTCTCTCAGCCATTGTCTGTCCACTGTTGAACATAGGCTTCTCATCCACGGCCACCTGCATCCACTGACTCCCTGCAATGCATTTAAAATAGAATAAAATAGAATAAATATTATTGTGAGCTGTATATTATAATTATTCGTAAGATTTAAGGTCATCACTCCATCTAGTGGGGGGTCGTACTACACTGTTTTCCCGTAAGGGGTCGTCACTCAATAACTTTTCTTCCCCATCGCTTGTCGGTTCTTCGAATTATGTGGCCAGCTCATTGCCACTTCAGCTTGGTTATCCTTCGCATATAATAAAGTACAATATTATTTCAATGAGGCATTCACAAATAGTCGTTCGTGTTCAGCCTATGACTTGTACCGCTATGTTGCCCGAGCTGTTACCTCTCTCCCGTGACGTCAGCGCGAGTGTACACGGGAATTGATTCAAGTCGCTTATTGTGTTTGTCGCGGTGTCGAGATGGGGCGGCTAAGCGACGACCCGGTACCCCCTGCTTGCGTCACGGTTGCTCAACCTGCCCGCCCCCGTACCAATGGTGCGTTTTTAAG